GCATTCTATCACTGTTGTGCTGCAAGTAGCTGCAAACAATAATAACTTAAAAATATACAATAATAATTTACTATTTAGACATTAAATATCGATTTATTACTGATACTTACTCTAAGACAATAGGATCAAACACAACTTGCGTGTTGTTCATAAGTGATATCAATGTATCATAAAATGCTTTTGTATTATTTACAATATCCAATGTCTTATTAATGTCATTTTTCAAAGAATTATTATCATCATAAATAAATGACAGTGATGACAATACATGTAGAGAATTTTGTAGTTGATCCAACGGATATGAAGTAGAATTGAAAAATTTCTTAGTAATTGTAACAGGTTTACTACTTGTTTTATTAGAAGAATCAGTGATCTCGATAAATTGTGTTAAAATTTGTTCTGTAATTTTTATATCAGTTGGCATATGTGCTTTAATTTCGTTCAACATAGTTTTCACTAAAAATAAGAATTACGATGTAAATGATGTGAATCTACAATAGATCTTGGACCTTTTAAAACATTTTGTTTATCTTTACCATCTGTCAATTCCTTGCAAGTATTAACAATGTTATGACTTGCAGTCTTAAGGCTTTCAACATCAACTCCATTCGAGACTGGACAGGTTTTAAGAATTGTGAAAAAGTAACTAAGAGTCACACCAACAATTATACCGAATACATAAGCAATAAGAGTGTTCCATATATCTTTCTATAATAAAAGAGATTTAAACCTTATTATCTAAAAAAACAACATTAAAGATATTTGGAATATAATCTTATTGTTAGATAACGCAAGAATACTAATTTTTTTAACTAAATACAATTACTACAATACCTGTTTATTTGTTTGTACTTCCAGCATTTGTGGAGACTTGCATGGCTTACGATTAAATTGACAAATTTGAAGATTTGTATTAACAACATCTGTGTCACTCTCCGTTATAACTGATATACCATCGGATATATCATCTGATTCTGTGTTTGTACAAGATACTTTACTATCATTATCTTTTGTTTGTGCAATCTCATTATCTGAATCCTTCAAAAATAGAAAATGTTAAGCATCTAGTTGATTTAGTTCTGTTTTAATATTACTTATGTCTGCACAGTACTTAAATTCTAATTATATCATACTTTATATCAATATAATTACTCACCTTCTGTGTCCCTGATGATTGAAAATTTTTGCCATTATCACTACGATCGATAATCCAACTTAATTTTATCCAATCGTCCTCATCTCCATCCAGTTGTACCACTTCTATATCAACATCTATGTTATCGAGACATATTTCGTTAATATTTACGTCATCCATCGTCTGTCTCGTAAAATAAAGATTTGTGTAGTTTTTTTGAAGATTTATTAAACACACTGTGAACCGAAATCCGAAAGTTCTTCAACTGAGTCACGGCAGAAAATATATTTTACTGAATATGTGCCAAATAGCCAAATTTCAAGCACAGATATTAGGCTATATTTCAACGATCAATCTCTATAAATGTATATATTCTATATATTCCACGATACTATCCAGATTCTGTTTATGCAGCACAGGTCACCTTTGTCCTTTGCAATTTATATATCAAGAATAGTTTTGATTAGAAAATTATCAAGCTGGTTTGACAATCCCAGCATAGAAGACAGCAAAGAATAAACAATGGTTGCTTTCAATCGTGTTCAGAATAATCGCTAAGAATCAGTCAAATATGATTGGTTCTTACTTGTAGATCCAACTAGCTAGGTGATGCAAGACGCAATACCCTTTCAACAATTTAATCTGATAAATGTGAAACAAGACAAAAATAGCATTGACAAGAAATAGTCATCAAGTTATATATATTATACGTTGTATAAGTGTTTATGTAAATATTCAGAGAAATTTTAGTAATATATATAAATGATTCAAAATTTAAAAAAATTATCAAAATTATCAGATTGTACTTCTAAGAAATTGATTAAATTAAATTTTCGAAAATTCTGATTAACAGATTAAAGTTAATTTTGGCTCAATTTTCAATTTTGGAGATTTAAATTATTTGATATAAATATATATAAAATATATAAGAAAATGCTTTGCTTAGTACACACGTCATTTAATCTCAAAAATCACACTTGCGCATTCATTATTGGTCAACACGGACAAATGAGGACCTGATTGCCTCCCACCATATATATGCGCCAGCCAATGAGCGCGCCGATTATTTCGCGATTAATCAATCGCATTCACAACTTTGATAAATTTTTATTGAAAAAATTTCAATTATTAATATACTCTAATTATTCAAGTCTTTTGTATAAATTATAGAGATCGCTCAAACTTCATCAATAATTTTCTTTGGTACATAACCTCTAAAATTTTTCTAACAGCTGTAACAGCTTATTGTATATTGTTATTTGGCTGAGATTTACATGTTTATAATATCAACGTATTCCGAAAAAATCTCAGCTCTTTTAACTGCATTGTTGAAATAATAAACATATTTTTTGTTTATACATTTGTTTTACTTGAAATGCAAAAGCTACAAAGAACAAATCTGTATCTGTAATCAAAAGAACACATGCGATTGGTAGCCTTAGGAAATTTACAGAATTTTTACATCTGAAGGATAATTTTTTACGTCACATCTGTTGCATTGAAATGTAAGATAAAAAAAATTAAATGACTTAGGTGAACAGATTTGTTTTTTGCAATTGAACTTTTCAATTTGTTGTTTATCTTTTTTCTTTTTCTCTCTAAATGTCTAATCATATACCTATTTCATTTTAAGTGCAGAAAGTATAACATAGTGTAATTACGAAGAATAGACCTATCATGGATAGTTTTTATCGTCAGATTTCGTATTCGTACTGAATTCACAAACAGTGAGTGAAGCTGCAAATATATCGGCAAAGAATTACTGTATTACTGTGTGCTTTGCAACAACTGAAACCAAGTACTGTATGTATTTTCTGCGAGTTACTGTAATTGTACTAAAATAGGAAAAAAGAATTTGAGGTAAAAACATGAGGAATATTATTGTATTATTCAGAAATAAAATTCTGGAAAACGTGAAGCAGAGGACTATCGGAATGATTGAGCACAATTTTCCACCTTTGAAAAATGACCGGATACTCAAGGCAGCACGTGGGGAGCCGGTTGACAGAATTCCAGTTTGGGTTATGAGGCAAGCAGGAAGGTACCTTCCTGAGTTTCAAGAAGTCAGAGCTCAGCACGATTTTTTCGCAGTTTGCCAAACTCCTGAATTAGCATGTCAGGTGACTTTACAGCCGATAGAACGTTTCGATCTGGATGCCAGTATAATATTCTCAGATATCCTGGTGATCCCTCAGGCGATGGACCTAAAAGTTGAGATGGTACCGGGAGTAGTAAGCACTCTCTCAATTATATATTTTCACATAATAATCAAGTGATATTCATTAATGTACTACATATTCATTATTGTCTCTTTATTCTCTTTATTCTTCTAAATAAGAAGTATCTGTTAGGGTCCAGTCTTGCCTCAGCCCTTAGCTGGTCCCAATGATTTATCACGACTCAAACAACCAAATGTGAATGAAGCTCTGAAGTATGTTGGAGATGCTATAACATTAACTCGACACAAGTTGAATGGCAAAGTGCCATTGATAGGATTTACTGGAGCTCCTGCAAGTATTTTAGTATTCAAAAAAATCAAAGCATGAATATACTAAGAATTTCTTTAATATAAGGAATTTATTTTTGTTGTATCCCAAAGAGAACAAGAAAATCAAAATAATGTCAATATGACGTTATATTGACATTATTTTGATTTTCTTGTTCTCCTTGGGATATTACATATTAATGTATTTATATATTACATGTTATATAAAATAGTTAATTTGTTTCATATACAGTGGACTCTGATGGGTTACATGATTCAAGGAGGAGGCAGTTCTACAATGGCAAAGGCGAGATCCTGGTTATATAAGTATCCAGAAGATACTCATAAATTGTTACAGATGATTACAGATGTTATTGTGGATTACTTAGTAATGCAAGTGAAAGCTGGTGCTCAGGTATATAATTGAACGTATAATTTTTTTTTGTAGGGAAGAATTCTTAAAATATATTATGTATATGCAGTATATAATGACATAACTCGAAAGCAATAACTGTTATATCCTTTTTTCAAGTTGCTTCAAGTTTTTGAAAGCAATGGAGATTATTTGGACGATGCATTATTTACAAATTATTCTTTTAAATATCTCAAACAAATTAGCGAACGTGTACGAAAGCAACTGAAAGAAGCAAATATTCCAGAAGTGCCTATGGTAAAACGTTTTTCATAACTATTTCTAACCAGCAAATTACTTTAAAAATTAAATAGATAAATTATATATAAATATCAAACGTATATTTCTAGATTGCTTTTCCAAAAGGCGCAACCATGAATTCTTTAAAAATTCTTGCGATGGATCAAAGTTATGAAGTTATAGGTCTTGATTGGACTGTAGATCCTATAGAAGTCAGAAAACAGCTTGGTGCTAATGTTACATTACAAGGGAATATGGATCCTTGTGCAATGTATTCTTCACAGGTATGTTGTCTCTTTTAAAAAAATTATAATTTCAATTTAAAATATAATTATTTTATATTAACTTTTATACATGATTATTACTGAAAAATAAAGTAATTAGATTAGTAATAATAGTAACGGTATTAACTACTAATCATCGATCGAGAAATATTCACAAATATTATAAAGATATTGAATTTATTCATTATGTCGTCTTTAGGATGAAATCGTTGATCGTGCACAAAAAATGGTGTCAAATTTTGGTAAAACTCGATATATTGCTAATTTGGGACATGGCATTTTACCGGATACTCCGATTTCATCCATGGAGGCTTTTATTAAAGGAGTGCATTCTGCATAAGTATATGTTTTATAATCAATACATTATATATGGTTTATAATCAAAGCATTTACTTGCGTTGTTATAAACAATTACAATTATTGTTACTACATAGCATTGTTTTATCTTTTTCTTTTAATAATTGTATATTAAAATTTTATTCTGATGTCTCTAATGTCAAAAGTATTTTTTGAATATCGTTTTTCAATAAAGGGAAATCTTGATTCGTTCGTTCCATTACATGTTTCAAATAATCACGAAGAATCTGTTCATTTTGGAATTCTTCACTTAATGTAGCTTCACTCTTGAAAAGCATTTTATATCGACCACTTTTAATGTCTTCTAGCATTTTAGCTTTTCTTTGCTTAAAAACTAATGTCTGTAAATTCTGCATGTAACAGAAGATTTTTTTTAATTATGATAATATTAATGTTAAACAAATAGTAATTTTGAATCTTATGAAGTTAAGAGGAACTAAATTATTCATTTTACGTACATGATATTTAACAGCTTCTATTTGTGTAATTCCTTGATTCAAATTTGGGATATCAGTTTGCACCATTTTCAATGCTGTTTGCGATTCGTTGCATTTGTCTGCTGCATCCTTTATTTGATTTTCCAGTTCCAATATTCTATTTTCAATCTTTTTTGTATCCTATAATAAACACTTCATTAGAGAAGTTACATCAATTAAGCTACTTAACGTAATTATATAGTAATATAAAAATATATAGTAATATAGTAATATAATATTAACGTAATTATATAGTAATATAAAACTATACTTAATGTAAGTAGGATTTACCTTCACGATTTGTTTTATCTTTAACTTTTGATCAGCAAGACGTTTATGAAATATAACTTTCTGATTATGTTGTCCTTTAGGATCTTTTTTAAGTTTGCTCATGGCTTTGTCTAATATAATATCTCTTCGTGCAACACAAAACTCCATATCATGGATCAATTTTTCTTGTACCCTACGCAAATGTGTGAGGCGCATTTCCATTTTATGAATTTCACTTTTCATCACTGTGATATCGCCACCATTACTATGTTCATCTCTCAATTTCTTCATCGCTTCTTGCATTAATTTCACCTAAAAGCATAAATTAAAAATCATGATATTTTTCTTGATATATATATAAATAAAAATATATAATATTTAATATTTAAAATATTACTTTCTTCTCCCATGATAAACTTTCTTGTTGCACTGCATCTAAATTATCCTTCAAAAGTGCCTTTTCCTCATATAACTGTTTTAAATCGTTTTGCATGTTTATTAGATTTAATTCTGCATCTTCGAGAACTTGTATCCCTTCCATTTTTTTAATAGAATTTTTGTCTTCTAATTCTTCTTTCAGTCCTTTTCGAATGACTAATTGTGAATTTAATTGAACTATTCTTTGTTGCAGAAGATTTAATGTCCTCTCGATGTTCGAATCTTCCTTATCAAGCATTTTCAAAGCATGCTCTAGTTTCAAATTTTTTTGCTCCATAATCATAATTTCTTTATTAAGAAGATTAAGTTCTTGCAATTGTAAATCCTTCTGTTGACTCAATGTAATCATATATCCTTCTTGGCGAATCCATAATTGTTGTGCTTTCTGATTATTTTGCTGAATTTCTTCTATATTCTTTTCCAAGGTTTTTATTTTCATATCAAGAGGATTAACTTCTCCATTTTCTCTATGCGATAATATCTGTAAGAAAGAATAATAGTGTATAAATATTTAATATTCGCGTAGAATTTTTGTTAATAATATTCTTACCTCTTCAATGGTTTTGTTCAAATTGACAATTTTTATTTGTTTCCTCTCGATTGCTGTGTCATGATTCTTGATTTCTTTCTGAATCTCATCTATCTCTTTCTCTTTTTTATTATTATTTTGCAAGAGTTCCTCGAAGTCTGCCTTCTCATAAGATATGTTTGAATTAAGTTGTTCCAATTCCAATAATTTTTTGCTATATGAATTTTCTGTTTCTGCTAGTAACAATTCTTGTTCTTGTAATGACTCTTTAGAATCTAATAATAATTTATTCAAATATTGCGCCGCTTTGTTATGCGCAACTTTTTCTTCCAGTTTGCTATATATTATTTTTTCTAACTCATTTTGCTTATTTAGACATTTTGTAAATTCTTTATCTATTTCTTCCTCTTTATGTAACAAATATTGCCATTCCTAAAATACAAGACTGTTATAAATGATAATATAATCGTGTAAAAATAAAATTTTTAGAGATATATTTTAATTAGAGTAATTTAACAATGTTTTATGTTTTTTTTTTCAATAAGTATACATTAATATTCTATATACATTTTGAATTAAATCAAATTCATGTTGTTCCTGTTCACTAAATTTTGCTATTTTTACTAATTCAGATTCCAAATTATTAAGTTTATCATTTCCGATTTCCATCAATTTTGTGTTATTCAGAATATTGTCTTCTATTCGTATATGCAGTGAGGTCAGATTCTCATTGTTTTCTGTTTCCTTACAAGTTTCTTTCTTTAACTTGTCTATTTCCGTTTGTAACGTATTAAAAGATTCACATATTTTCCTAAAACAATATTCATTGTTGCAGTCTTTCATAAGCAAATGAGGAAACTTTATCAAGACAATTATTTCTTCCTATTAAAGTCATAGATGCGACTTAATTACGATACTATTGTATGTTATTAACTTATTTTATCGCCTATTACAATTTTATTCACTCAAATCCTTAAAGATTATCGAGATATTACGTACTCACGCTCTGTATTTAGTTGCTCATAAACTTTATTCCGATTAGTAATATTCAGTACAACAGAATTCCAGGCGTTGCATAAATTCGTATGCTGTTTATGCAACGTTGCTAGATCAGTATCAACGTCAGCGATCATCTGATTTATCTGAATTTTTTCTTTATTTTTCAACTGCAGTTGCGTGTCTAAATTGGCTATCTCGGTTTTAATTCTCCAGACTTCCTCCATAAGTTTATATATTATGCAGTCTTTCTGCTGTTTCTGAGCAATTAGATCTCGTTGAATTATCTTATCTTTTTTCGATACTTGTTTAGAAATAATCAAGTTATTTTCGAGCTCTGTTTGCAATTTTGAGAATTGCGCTTGCAAATCAGTAATCTGTTCTAATTCGTGCATGAGATTCTCTTCTTTCCTTTTCTCTTCCAATAATTTAACGTGGGTATCTTTGTGAATCTCTTTGACATTCTTTATGTGTGTATCTTTCTCTTCGCGCTGCGAAACCATATTTGCTATCATGCTTTGATACTTCTCAATTGTCATTTGCTGTCGCGCTACTTCCTGTTGAGCATAGTACATTTGTAAACCTTCTGTTTCACGTTCCTTCTCTAGTACTTTTATATTAGCCTCCTGAAATATTTGGGATAAATATTTAATGAGAATAACATTTGTTGTTTCTTTTTATTTACCAGACAAATCTTTTAAGTCTAAAAAAAATAAGGATTCAGGTACTTACAAGCTCTAATATTTCGCTATTTAACTTATTGTCGACGCGAACAAGATGCTCTCGTAGACGATGAATATTTAATGAGAATAACATTTGTGTTTCTTTTTATTTACTAGACAAATCTTTTAAGTCTAAAAAAATAAGGATTCAGATACTTACAAGCTCTAATATTTCGCTATTTAACTTATTGTCGACGCGAACAAGATGCTCTCGTAGAGCATTTTGGAATTTTTTCATCAAAGAGTCATCTGGATCCAGAACATCTGGTACATTTAAAGACTTCGTATCTATCCAAAACTTTCTTGTGACTTGTTGACTCCCTGGCAGTTCCATATTGTTAGCAGTATCAGGAGAGAGACCAGAAGTACTATTTGCAATCAAGGTAGTCATTGTGGAATGTCGTATCACACAATTCTTTGTAAAGAGCTTCTATCCTGAAATCATATATATAGAAACAGCTTTAGACTCGTATCAGACTGTTGTTGATTCACATCAAATTCGTAGTCAAGGGAGTATATGACACATCATCATGATAGTATATAATCAATATTTTCTTATTTGAACTTGTTTTAATACAGTTTGGCTTATTTAAATTAAAAACATTGCATAATAAAATTGCATATGTGTGTGAGACATCAAGAATCACCATCATTTATGAAGAAAAGGGATAACATACATCATATATCTTTAATTTTTATTCATAAATAAATTCAGCTTTTCAGCATATATTAAGGTAGGTAATAATAACTATATTAAAATAATAAAAACTATATTAAGATAATAAATATACATAAAATATTTTATAAATTCATAAAATATTCCCACAAGATAATTTTATCTTATTTATCGATAGTTGATAATTAAACTTCCGATAATCTCGTTTTACCGCAACATGTGATATAAGATAAGAACATGAATTATCGACAATTATAATTTATAACATATCGGAAAGATCTTGTAAACATATCAGTAAAAAAGGGAGATGTCAAATGGTCTTACTTAATAGAGCCGCCCAAGGTAGATCGATGTGGATCAAAAGAAATCCGGATCAACATTACGTGGTTAACAGAGAGAGCATCGTCGGCGCTGTCACCGTCATATGTGACGCGCGTTAATTGCCACTTTGCCAGTCGTTTCACCGCAGTTCCGTGTTGGTGTTGTGACAGTTTGCCCGGAACAGCGCGGCGTCGAAGTTCAATCGTGAGATGGGATGCTTCTATAATCGTCGTGAGATTCGTCGCGGGATTATAGAATGATCGAACTTTGCATGAACGCTCGTTGAGGGTTAACGTTGGCATAGTGAATAGTGATGCAGAACGCGCGCGTCAGCGATGAAAATATGGAACAAAGTTGGCCGGAGAAAAGGACGATCAGGTTCCGACAATACGGTACTGACAAGTCCAAAACTCATATGTCATGTCACGACAAGCGCGTGGAGAATGTGGATCTTACGCACTATAGGCCGCAATTATCCGACAGCCAAGATGCGCAGAAGAAGAAGCAACGTAAGTAATCGGCAACATCCGATACAACATAATTTTCCAGTGGACTTGTGTCTTAAGTTCGTCCCTCGGAAAACTGTGTGATATATACCTATAACGTGTTAGAGATGTAATTATCGGTACAGCACAGTGGATGTATAAATCAAGAGAAAAAAAAATTGGTGACACAACAGCACACATAATATACACACTCCAGTAGATTAGATAAGATATTAATTACCTACGAGAATAACGATCTTAAAATTTTCTATAAAATTTATTACGAATGAGCAACTATGAAGAAAAGGAAGAAACAAATGTGAAACAATCCTTGTAAACTTTCTCTTTGAGCAGATTTTTAAATATTTGTATTTGTTATAAATCTTATTGTTTGTAATATTTTGTATTAATTGTTAACTTACTACTTTTTGCTATAATAACAATTACAAATTATTAAGTTATTAGTATTAAGTTATTTTAGTCCTTTTCTGAAAAGAATTCTTGTTGCATCTAAAAATGAACTCAGAATTGATAATATATCACTGAATTCTTTTTGAACTCTTTTGAACTCTTTGTGCTATCTGGGAAAGTTTGTTCAAATAATATTAAGTTTATGTTTAATTTATTAAAAAAATATACTCTTTTTTTTTATAGGGGTATCGTTGATGCAATTTTTGAGAACAGAATTAACAAGAGGTTATCAGTTGGAGCATGATGAGGAAAGATTTTCCGCAAGAAGGGAAAAAGTTTACTCGTTTATGAAAATTCCTAGAGAAGTGGAAAACTTTATGGCGTATGGATTCCTTCAGGTACAGCAACAAACAAAACTATTGTTCTATAGAATAGAATGCTAGCTAAAATCTCTTAGAATAATTGAGTATATTACATATTAGATGTTTTATTGTCTTTGTCATTGTAGTGTGCCGATTCCTTTCTATTTGTGTATACATTTTTACCACTAAGATTTGCAATGGCTTTGTGGGCAGTGATAACGAGACCTTTACGACACTATCTGAGGTATACAAGAGATATCGATTTAGAGTGAAAGATATTCATTTACCTAAAAATGTTGACCAGCCTTATTTTTAGGAGTAGGAATGAAAAAGATCATGCAAAGAGTGCGGAAAGATATCTGAGTCCAGCTGAAGTATGCGATTTGTTAAAAGGAATTGTAGTGGTGGGTTGCTGGGCAGCAACCTGGAAGGTGGACACCTCCATGATGTATCATTTAGTTAAGAGTCAATCAGTTATAAAGCTATATATATTTTATAATATGCTAGAAGTAGGAGATCGCCTTTTCAGTGCTTTCGGCCAAGACACCATTGATGCACTGCTTTGGACCGCTACTGAGCCACGATCACGTTCGAATTCCACTCGTACGAAACATTTCGGTACATTACCACATCTTCTGTTTGCCGTCACTTATGTGTGTATCCTTTAATTACATCGTTACGATTAATCCGATCATGATCGAGATAGATTTAAGTTGCAACAAAATATGTTTACCTTGACTGCTTTCCCATAAAGTGTTACATAGCATATTGGTATTATTTCAAGCAACGACATTAAATGTGGCAATTAACAGCAGTAATAAAGCCCTTCTCACAATTATGATGTCCAACAACGTAAGTTGAGCTAGGAAAAATAAAGTAGTCATCTTTTTTTTGTATAAAGTATTTCACATGGAGTTCTTTTAGTTTGTAGAATTGAAGGGTTCTGTTTTCAAGAAGTTTGACAAGAACAACTTATTCCAATTATCTTGCGCCGACGTCAGAGAAAGATTCCATCTGATTATGCTGCTTCTTGCAGTGAGTCTGCAAACGATGAAAGAATACGCATGGCATAGCGATCGTCTCGCTGTCTTGTTACCCGATTGCGTGACGTTATTGTTAGCAGAAGTTCTCGTTGATTGGGTTTGTAAAATAAATTGTATATTATGGAGAAAATGCAAAATATTCGAGAGAAAAATATTCGATCAAACATCGAACTAGGATTATTCATATCACTAAACAACTAAACTATTTGGATCATTTATAATTTCTTGTTTGCTTACCATTAACAAATTTTGTGTAAATTGCACAAGATCATCTCCACTGTATTTCTGTAAAGGTAAAACATGCGTTCATCACACGTTTCAACGAGCTACCTTCAACCGTCTACAGGGATTATACCGTGAGTTTGGCTTATGACATGGCACAGACACGTCGAGAGACGGCATTCTCGGATCCCTCAGACTTGGTTGCGCGGCGAATGGGCTTTATACCTCTTCCTCTTGGAGTCGCTATGGCTCGCGTATTATGTACGACTCTGACGCCATCCGCGAGACCCGCTAACATCATACTTCTATTATTAGCTTACCTTGTATTAGTATCTCTTCGTATATTGAATAGTTTAATCATTCTTGGAAAGGCGTGTGATATAATGTCGTCGCACACACAACCTGATAAAGATGACGTTCCCACGAAGTCTCCATCGAAGAATCGTGCCAATAGTGTCGATATGAAAAATCCAAATCTTGGCACGGCTATCTTTTCAAATAGCGCCGTCAGCTTGAACAACGTCTGTCTGAACGAAGCGTTTCTGGAGCCGGAAGAGACGCAGAAAAGTGAGAAACTTCAGTGTAATTTTGACGAGCTCACGAACGTCACGAAAACTGTGTTAAGGACAGGAAGCGAACCCCTTCTTCCGCAATGACAAATCTCAATAGCGCAATTAAAATGTAATGATTTTTTTTATTTATAAATTGTACATATTTCGTTGTACATATATACATGCACAGATACTATATGGACGTTCTTTTGCAATACTTATATATTAAGGTATTTATGTAAGAGTAATAAATTTGGTTACCATTTATTATTAAATTTTCTTATTAAACATCTATAGCTGTTATATAAGCTATATATAAAAAAACGTTTTATTCGCAATTTTTTTATATTCAATAGTTTCTTATAATTAATCGTAATTTCATCGAAATTATAAAAAAAGTGAGTTATAAAAAGACGTTATATAAGAAATGTTACATAAAAGTAAATACAATAGTCATACTTTTCTTTTCTATCTTATCGACGATCGAGTATGAAGTTTGCGTTCTTACTCACGGTACAGCAAGCAGGATTGAGGATATAACTAATTAAATTGATTCCAGAGTTCTCGTTATACCTACATCAGTTCACATCAGTTTGTCGACGAGTGGCGTGCAGTGGCGCGACGCACGAATAGTTTCGCCTCCCTCTCCAATTCGAAATCCCTCTCCGTCCAACCATCGTTCCCTGTCTCTTTCTCTCTCCCTTTCTCTCGCTCCGTCCTCTTCTCTCCCACTCCGCGCAATCGCTCGGTCTCTCGTTCGACCGACAAGCACGGGAGCAACGGGACGCGGGACGTCGTGGAGGCGGTGGAGGACGTCGGTCCGCCGCTCTTCGGGAGCCGCGTATCACGCGAATTCTCGCGATAGTAACGACCGACGACGTCGTCCTCGTCGGGTCCCGGTCGCGACGTTTCGCGTATGGCTCCTCCTCTCTCGTGCACCAAAACAAGTTGAATGGACGAGGGTACGAAATATCGAGTGCCGATCGGCGACGCCTGCGTGTCTATGCGCGTGTGCTTCGACTCGCTGTGCTTCTCGTCGTCGCAGCAGCCGCGCGCCGACGAGGAGGACGACG